ACAGGTATCTTCATTATATAATCTGATAAACCTTTGACACAATCATTTACTGAACTGCTATTTTGTACTTCAGTATTACTCTCTTCTTCCTCACAATTCACTATTTTTGCAGGTGAATTGGGTATATTTTCATGCTCCATAATTGAACTCTCATCAATGACAACTGTGTCAATTGCTGCTGCTTCCATGTACACTGGTGAAGATGTAGAAACATTGATATTGCCTTGTTGACTAGTAATAGGAGACAAATCAATTCCTTCTGGTGATTCTTGCCTGTTTTCAGTTGATGAAGTTAGACCTACTGTCTCATCCACTGAAGTAGGTTGAAGTATACCAGTACTTTCAACTGATGTTTCAAGAGGTGCGGTAGGTCTAGTACTTTCATTTGATGTGTTGTTTGCTGGTAATAGTTTCTTAGTGATCAGTACAGCTTCTTCATCAAGTTCCTGTTCCTTCCATTCTGTAGTCACTACTGCATTGTGCTGTGATAGTTTACGAAATGAATTAACTTGTACAGCTGCATCAATTACACCAGTACTAAGAGAAGGACCTGTATCAAGAGATTGATTGAGGAGTCTCTTCTTTAATGTACTCTTACCAGCACCAGGAGGACCTGTCAATATACACTTAACAACACGTAATAATGCTATACCACTGGATTGATGAATATGAAGGTAACTACTAGCCTTCCTATAATAAGTGGTTATCCCATGAGTATTACAACGTTTAACTTCAACAAGATAATTGACAATGTTCATGTCAGGAGATCGCTTATTTAATGCAACATGCAATGGCCTCATATTGTACTCATCTTCAGCCTCGATATTACAATGTGAATGATTAGTTAAAATTTTAACTATTTCAAAATGACCACTTTCACATGCTTTATGTAATGGTGTATAGCCATTCCACCTTTTAGCATTAACATCACAGTGTTTATCAATCACAAGATGACATACAATGTCTACATTTCCTGATTCACATGCTTCATGTAGTGGTCTGTTATTAGAATTGTCTTCAGCTTCAAGGTTACATTGTGGATTATTAGTCAAAACTTTAACAATTTCAAAATATCCCTTTTCACATGCATAATGTAATGGTGTATAGTCACTCCTCCCTTTAGCATTAACATCACAGTGTTTATCAATCACAAGTTGACGTACAATGTCTACATTTCCTGATTCACATGCTTTGTGTAGTGGTCTGTCATTAGAATAGTCTTCAGCTTCAAGGTTACATTGTGGATTATTAGTCAAAATTTTAACAATTTCAAAATATCCCTTTTCACATGCATAATGTAATGGTGTATAGTCACTCCTCCCTTTAGCATTAACATCACAGTGTTTATCAATCACAAGATGACGTACAATGTCTACGTTTCCTGATTTGCATGCTTTGTGTAGTGGTCTGTCATTAGAATAATTGCTTTCAGCTTCAGTATTACATTGTGGATGATTAGTCAAAATTTTAACAATTTCAAAATGACCTTTTTCACATGCATAATGTAATGGTGTATAGCCAAACCTCTCTTTAGCATTAACATCACAGTGTTTATCAATCACAAGATGACGTACAATGTCTACATTTCCTGATTCACATGCTTTGTGAAGTGGTCTGTCATTAGAATTGTCTTCAGCTTCAGTATTACATTGTGGATGATTAATCAAAATTTTAACAATTTCAAAATGACCCTTTTTACATGCATAATGTAATGGTGTATAGCCATTCATCTCTTTAGCATTAACATCACAGTGTTTGTCAATCACAAGATGATGTACAATGTCTACATTTCCTGATTCACATGCATCAAATAATGATCTCCTATCTTCATAAAGATTATTTAACAGTTTCATTATATCTGGTTCTGCTAGTTGCTTTGCTGATTCCATACATTTATATAAACCATACTTGCTCACTTTCTTTCCTAATATTGAAACTAGTTCCTTGTGTCCTTGACATGCTCCATAATGAAGTGGTTGGTTTCCTTTATAGTCCATAGCTTCAATGTTACACTGTGGTTTAGATATCAAATATTCTACTATTGACAGTGATCCATTATAGCATGCTTTATGTAATGGAGTGGACCCAGTTCCCTCTTCTCTAACATTAATATGACAGTCAGTA